ATTAAACCTGTGAGGCACGATTTACCATCTCTGAACCCATGTTGGTGGTGCGTTACAAAGTTATTTCCCTCCAGATGCTCTACGAGCCTTTTCCTCACGATCTTCTCCAGCACCTTGCATGGTATACAAGTTAAGGAAACTGGCCTGTAATTCAGTGCCTCTTGCCTGTCACCCTTTTTGTATATTGGGACCACGTTAGCTGTCTTTCAACTTTCTGGTAAGTCTCCTGTTTCCAGTGACCTGTTATACACCATAGAGAGTGGCACACTTAGTGCTTCCGCACCTTCCTTTAGTATCCATGGTGAGATTCTATCAGGCCCAACAGCCTTTGTCACATCTAGCTCCAGCAGACACCTTTTGACCTCATCACTGGTGAGGTCAAATTCCTCCAAGGTTGCTTGGTTTGCCGCCTCCACATTTAGTGCAGGGGCTTCTCCTTGTTCTATTGTGAAGACCTCCTGGAATCTCTTGTTGAGTTCTTCACACACCTCCTTGTTATTCTCTGTGTATCTGTTCTCCCCTTTCCGCAGCTTCATCACTTGTTCCTTCACTGCTGTTTTCCTCCTGATATGGCTGTGGAGAAGCTTTGGTTGGGTCTTGGCTTTACTCGCGATGTCATTTTCAAACTGTCTCTCTGCTTCCCTCCTCACTCTGATGTACTCATTTCTGGCCCTCTGGTATCTCTCCCTGCTCTCTGGTGTTCTGTTATTTCTGTAGTTTCTCCATGTTCTTTTACTCAGTTGTTTCGCTACCTTATATTCCTGGTTGAACCATGGGTTTTTCTGTTGTTTTTCGTTTTTCCCCTTTTGGACGGGGATAAACCTGTCTGCAGCTTCCTGGCACTTTTGGGTGACAATATCCATCATGACCTGCACATTCTTGTCTCTAAGTTCTGTTTCCCATGGTATTCCCCTGAGGAAGTTCCTCATCTCGTCATATTTTCCTCTTCGGTAATTCAGTCTTTTCCCCTCCACTCCCATCCTTGGATAGGTTATCCCTACCTCCACCAAGTACTCAAAGGTCAGTACACTGTGGTCACTTATTCCTATGGGGGCTTCAACTTTGACTTCCCTTATTTCTGACTCATTCAGGGTGAATATTAAGTCGAGTCTAGCTGGTTCATCATTGCCTCTCATTCTTGTGGGTTCCTTGACATGCTGGCTCAGAAAATTCCTTGTTGCCACTTCCAAGAGTTTAGCTCGCCACGTATCTGCACCACCATGTGGGTCCCCATTCTCCCAGTCTATCTTTCCATGGTTGAAATCACCCATGATTAAGAGTCTTGAGCCATTCCTGCTGGCAACTGAAGCTGCTCTCTCTATTATATTAATGGTTGCCATGTTGTTCCTATCAAACTCCTGTCTAGGTCTTCTGTCATTTAGGGGAGGGTTGTAAATGACTGTCACTATTATCTTAGGTCCACCCATTGTTATAGTTCCTGTTATGTAATCTCTGAATCCGTCACAGCCCGGAATTTCCATCTCATCAAAACTCCAGTCCTTCCTTATCAGCAGGGCCACTCCTCCACCTCCTCTCCCTTCCCTCTCTTTCCTTACTATATAGTAGTCCTTTGGAAACACAGCATCTGTTATGACTCCTGACAATTTTGTTTCTGTTAGTCCTATTACATCAGGGTTTTCTTCTTGCACCCTTTCTGCCAGTTCACTTGCTTTATTGGTAATCCCATCAATGTTTGAGTACATTACCTTGAAGCTCACTTTCTTATATCCAATTTCACCCACACTCCCTACAAGTGTAGGAGGTTGTTCTATGGTCATTGCTACTTGGGTAGGCTCCTCCTCCTGTGAGGTAGTTGCCAGGGGTTCAGGGGGAGGTGGAGTGGGGGGTGGAGGGCTTAGGTCTTCCTCAGGCCTGCTTGGGTCAGGAAGTAGTGTTAGTGGTCCTCAGGTAAATTCGCGTAAATATGAATTTATAGCTTAATATGTGGTGCTTGTGTTGATGGCAACTATTAAAAAGCAATTTTTTGGCATTTGCGACTTCGACGGGTAGGCAGTTCCGTAGTTTTTATTTGTTTATATATACAAGAGTTCTTACATTCTTGTACAACCACTAGCATGCATAACGTTTCGGGCATATCCTTAATCCTATTTTTTCCCGGAATAAGACCCGCCAAATCGCTTAACAACCCATTCACTGCTGGGTGACACAGGCTACAGTTAAGGATTGGAGCCCTGTCAATCCTCCCCGGCCAAGATACGAACCCACGCTAAAGTTCTTGCAAAGCGCCGGTCGAGTGTTTTACCACTGCGTTTTATTAATTAATTAATTGTGTCGAGGGACATATAGCCAGAGTATACTCATACACATTAGCTTTATTTCGAAGTCCCCCAAAGCCGAATTACTGACCCCGCCCAGGATGCAACCCCACAACAAGCGGACTATCTCCTGAGTGCCTACGTACTGCTAGATGAACAGCGGCATTAAGTGAAAGGAAATGTACCTAACCATTTCTGTCCCGCCCGGGATTCGACAAAGGAAAAATCGATTCTCAGTTTATAATCCTGTGGATGAAAAAAACATCTGTTCAAGCCCAGCAAGCCACCTACAATGTGGCTTGCTGGGCTTGAAATCGTTGCTCCTTGTTTGTGTTACATAAGTAACTTACATCTGACCTTTCGAAGAAGTTTTCTGGATCAATTGCCCCCCCCCCCCCCAAAAAAAAATGAGTGCTAGTGCAGCTCTTTGCACGAATAGCGAACAAGCTTATTGGAGACTGGTTATCTTGAGATGATTTCGGGGCTTTTTAGTGTCCCCGCGGCCCGGTCCTCGACCAGGCCTCCACCCCCAGGAAGCAGCCCGTGACAGCTGACTAACACCCAGGTACCTATTTTACTGCTAGGTAACAGGGGCATAGGGTGAAAGAAACTCTGCCCATTGTTTCTCGCCGGCGCCCGGGATCGAACCCGGGACCACAGGTCCCGGGTTCGGGACCCACACTGGGAGGACAAGTATCAACCCAAACTGAGCTGTTTGCCATACAACAGGCATTCACATATGTGATTGCACAAAACACTCAAAATGCAATCATACACACATACTCAAAGCTGCCCTTTAAATATTAGGAATGATGCAGTGGAAAGACAACGTGAAAATAATTACCACAATTTTGTATCTAGGAGCAGTAATTTTTTTTTTAATTATCAAGGGAAAGCGCCAAAAACTATAGCCACGTCTGGCTAAAGCCAAAGGATTTACCATCAATCAATCGGTCGTCGTCAATCAGTCTAAACTAATATAGTGGTTCTTCAGTACAGATGCTCGAGCAGAGGTCACGATCTCTCCGTAGGGTGCAGTCGCACCTCCACAGATCTCCAGTATCAGCTAATGATTCCGGCCGAATCGAGCTTCCATGCTCTCGTCCCGCATTCGAGCTCTTCAACCCTGCCCACATTCAGAGCTCCACGCTCTATATTCTCGGCCCGCATCCAAGCTCTCTACCCCCCGGCTTCACTGTAGCTCCCTCCCTGCTCCAGGCTTCGCCTCAGCTACTACGACACTTCCCTACATTGCCAGCAAACCGACTGCTGTTACCAAGACTATACTAAATAAATTATTAAACCCACTATACTCTTTGAGTCTTATCACTCAAATACATACCACGTAGAAATACGTTACAAGATACTGATGACAGACAGTGGCTTAGCTTAGACACTATATACCTGATTTACCTGAGGGCCACTAAGTACCCTAGTGGCCTCAACGAGGACAGGAAACCGGCGGCTTGGCGAATGTCCCCCCCATAATGCCCAACCACTTGGGTTGGACGCTAGTTTAGTTACTTCATTTATTATGCACCCTATACCCATCTTGCGGGCGGTGGTAGAAAGGGTTACAGAGGCACATAATGGGCTCAGGGACTGAACCCCACAATTCATATAGCTAAGCAAATTACAATCTTTATGAGCTAGTTACAAAATTCAATGCACACCGTCACATCAGCAATGGGCTCAAGACCGACCACAACTACAGTTTCTAATTTAAGCAACTAACATGTGGAGAGCTAGTGTCACAATTTATATGTTTATCCTACATCCCCGCTCCCCATCTAATGGGCAGCAGTGGATAGGTTATAATGGTAGAGAGACGGTCTCGCTTCATGCAGGTTGATGTTCAATCCCTGACCATCCAAGTGGTTGGACACCATTTCTTTCCCCCGTCCCATCCCAAAGCCTTATCCTGACCCCTTCCAAATGTTATATAGCCGTAATGGCTTGGCGTTTTCCCCCTGATAATTCCCTTTCCGTTCCCCCCATTTGCCTTGATCTTTTCCAGTATTCAGGTATATTGTGGTCAGTTTCGAACCTATTGATGATGTAATACATTCAATTTTGTAACTAGCTTAGCTAAATTAATTTTGGAGGTCAGTCCCTGAGCTCATTATGTGCCACTGTAACCCTCTCCACCACCGCCCACAGGATGGGAATGGGGTGCATAATAAATGAACTAGTGTATTTGATATTTTCACGTTATCTTAATGTGATAACGCGAGCACCTCGGTAGATGCCCTGGAAGCATTGTGTGAGGTTAAAACGAGCCAGCAATTGCGGCAGATTGTATTAGGGATGAAAGATGCGTGTGTAATAGAATTTTTTCTTGATATGTTCGTGTTCAAATACATGTTGCTGCAATATACCACGTTTCAGAGAGTTTCGTGCCATTTCTTCGCGATTCATTCTCCAGTGAAATAAATACTACACAAAGGTTACTCCTTCAAGTATTCTATTTAGTGGTAAGTGTGTCAGGCTGGGAGTGTGTCGGCCAGACTAAGACCAACAGATGACAGCTAACTGAAGTGGCACTCAAGAGTTCTCTTCACATAAGGTGATGTGAGTCCGTCTATGAGAAGGAGGGCGAGATAAGTGTGTCAGCTGGCCCAAGACAAACACACTGGGCCCCAGACACCCACCCCACGGTCAAGGCTCGAGTCATTCACGAGAGAGGAGGGCGAGGTACACTGGGAGGAGGAGGAGAGTGTAAGTGTGTCAGCTGCACCAAGACAAACACACTTGGCCCACACGCCCCCACTCCCAGTGTGTGTGTGGCGGCTCCCTTGAGTGCCTTCCTAAGCTCGCACTCGCACATTTCTCATAGTTCCTATCCATGAAGGTGGTTGTGTGTGTGGCGGGTAGCGTACAATGAGCTGGAGAGACGTGTTGGTGATCACTGTGAGGGAGAACAGAGAGAGAACTGTGAGGTGAGGCAGAACACGTGATCTGGTGCTGCTGGTGGAGACTCGAATCTCGCAAGATATACGTTCTGGGTCTAGTGTGAATTATATTCCCTCTCAGTTTGGTAAATATTATTCCAATAGTTGGTTTTGGTTACTGGAGTGTTGAGCTGGATGTGAGTAAATGAAATATTGTCGCTGTGTGGGGAAATGTGGTGGAAAACATGTTCAATATTTTAAGGCATTGGTCACAGCACTCGTGTATTGTACCAAAGTGGAACCAGTGCTTAATTTAAGCTGCAATTTGTCAATTATCAGAACGTCGATTGTTTTTAGGTTTTCAGTGGATTTAAGTTAATTTCTGACGTGTCATCAATGATAAAATACTTGAAATTAAGAGCAAGAACAGTTTGGAACGCATTAAGCTCTACCTAATCTGGGCTGGATAAGTCACATTGCACACAAGATGATTCGCAAAGGATTTCTAAACCTACCTAACCAAGCTCAACCTAATCGAACCCAACCCCAAGCCTAATACAGCCCAGCATAATATATATGCTTTTAACAGCAAACGAGCTTCGTCGAATCATCTCTTATCTTAAACAACCATACCTCTGAGCTAACCAATAGTTACTGTGGGTCAGTGGTAAAACACATGCCCTGCTCTTTGCTTTCTATTTGGCCTGGGTTTGTATCCTGGCCGAGGAGGATTGATTGGGTGCTGATCCTTAACTATACGCCTCTGTTCACCCATCTGTGAATGGGTACCTGGTTGTTAAACGATTTGGCAGGTCGTATTCTGTGGAAAATTAAAATTAAGCACCTCGCCAAAATGCTATGCGTGCTAGTGGCGTTACAAGAATGTAAGAACTCTTGTATATATAAATAAATAAAATAAACAAATAAAACTAAAATAATCTCTGCCCATTTTTTTCCAGAGTGAGAGAGATAAGGTTTGCACTTTCCCAGAAAGCTTTGCAACTACATCACACTTTATAAATGCTAATCTCATATATTCTATTGCTTTCATTGTTAAAATTAATATAAACCATCAGTTAACACTAAATATCACTACTGTATATATCAATGGGCTTCCAGCAACTAAAGTTAATTCAGACCAAGAAAATGTATCTGCTCCCAAATCCTTGTACAATCTCAATGTGCTTCATGTACTTTATGCTCTATGTAGATGTGTGCTTTATGTAGCATACGTTCTCTAGTGTGTGGTCTGGTCAAACAGGTCTTCCATGATTGTGTCATTTCTCCGTTCCCGAGTCATTTCCTTTCCAACTTTGCTAGGCTCTCTTGCACGTTTAAGACTATCTTACAGGCAGCTATCCTGAGTCTCTCTATTTAATTCCTACCAATTCCTCAGATGTTAAGGATATACAGTAATCCACTCAAAACTTAGTCAAGTACCCTTGCTGAGATACCAACTCTAACAAAAAAAGCCTCAAGATTTATAGCTCCATTCATTGCGTTGCTCTACAACAAATCGCTTGAACTCCGTACCTTTCCTGATATTCTAAAAAAGAAAGCAGGAGTAATCCCAGTCCATAAAAGTGGTGATCTCACTAAAGTCAACAATTTCAGACCAATATCAGTTGTGGCCACCATGTCTTAAAATAGTATTTGAAAAGTTACTCTACTCCTATCTAGCAAAACATAATATACTTAGTTCCTGTCAATGTGGCTTTAGACCCCATACAAGCACCAATGATGCACTAATTAGTATGATTAACATGATTTATGTAGTTCTTGAAAAAAATGAGTACCCTGGAGGTTTATTTGTTGACCTTTGTAAAGCTGTTGACACCGTCAACCACAATAACCTTCTACCTAAACTGCAACACTATGGAGTCAGAGGTCAGTCCCTCCAATACCTGCAACTTTACCTCAGTGACAGGCTCTAGTATGTGTCTGTGAATGACACTACGTCTCCCACCCAACCAATTAACATTGGTGTTCCACAGGAGAGTATACTGTACTTGGTCCTCTTCCCTTACTCATTTACATCAATGACCTTCCAAATGCCACTCAATACCTCAAGCCAATTCTATTTGCTAATGACACAACCTTCATTTTCTCCAGTCATAACCCTCTTATTTCGATTGACACAGTTAATATATACATTGAACACAAAATTTACACTTTTTGTTTACAAACTCACCCTTAGCATTGATAAAACCCTCTATAATTTGTTTGGCAATAAATCCACTGATCAAATTAACCTAAGAATTAACAATATACAAATTAATAGCAGAATAGATAGTAAACTCCTTGGTGTTCTCATTGATAGCAAGTTGAATTTCCAGTGCCATATACTAAATATAACAAAAAACAATTATGAAGCAGTTAGCATTCTTTCTAAAATCAGATACTGTGTACCTCGCCCTGCCTCGGTAATGCTTTATTACTCGCTCATCTATCCTTTTCTCACTTATGGTATTTGTGCCTTGTGCTCTACCATCCAAAATTATCTATAATCCTTAATTATTCAACACTATTATTATTATTCAAATAAATAGATGAGAATATTACAAACCACATCATAAAATTTGCAGATGACACAAAGATATATGGTAAAGTGGGAAATAATAATGCAATTGGAGCTCTACAAAGAGATCTACATGAACTCCTCAAATGGTCAGAAGACTGGCAAATGATTTTTAATATTGACAAATGCAAGACCCTGCATGTGGGGCTGAGCAACCCACGCCACCACTACCAAATTAATAACATTCCAATACAGCAAATTGATGAAGAAAAGGACCTTGGAATCAAAATCCACCACTCTCTGAAAGTTGCACAATAGGTAAGAGCAGCAGTCAAAAATGCTAACTAAACCCTTGGAATAATCAAGCGTACCTTTTTAAGAAAAGGAAGGTAGTAATTCAATTGTATAAATCTCTGGTGCGGCCTCATTTGGATTACTGTATCCAAGCATGGAGACCCCATCTGCAGAAGGACACAGCTGTTCTGGAGAAAGTGCAACATTAGAGAACAAAAATCATTCCATAGCTAAGTCATCTCTCGTATCAGGAATTGTTGAGGGCCACAGGGTTAACAACACTGTGAACCAGGCATGAGAGGCCAGATCTCATTTTGAATCTTAAAATTCTGAACAATTTGGTGAATGTTTATCCAGAAAATTTCTTCAAAAGGTCCAAACTGTTGCCCCCATAAGGGGCAAAGGTTTCATGCTCGAAAAGCCACAATGTAGGACTGAGAACAAGAGAGACTTTTTCACCCACAGGGTTACAAATCCATGAAACTCCCTACCCGCCAAAGCTGTAAATGCCAAGACAGCATTTTGTCTGTTTCAGATAAATTTCAAAATACTGTACAAGAAAAGATTATCAAGGCAAATGGGGGGGACCTTTGACATGCTGTCAGCTTCCTTTCCTCCTGAAGGTAAATGAAATAATGTTTGCCAATCCACAAGAAGTTGACAAAATTGCACTGGATGTAGTAGTACTTCAGTAGTAGTTCTTCAGTAGTAGTCAGTACTGTAGTTTCAAAGCATTAGAGTGCTGGGAAGATGGGACACCACGAAAGTAGCTCTCATCCTGTAATTACACTTTGGTAATTACACACACGTACATATACTGTATACTCAAATTGTTTTACTCCTGCTCAAATGTAACCCAAATCTTTTGAATGTTAGATGTGTTGTAACAGGTTTTACTTCCATTTAATTTAATTTATCTACACTGTATTTGTTTTAATTAACTTAATTATCAGTGTATAATATATGAAGGTACTGTACATGTATTACATATATTTATTGTTGATTATACTGTATACAGTATAATGTTGTTAACATTATAATGGTTTATGCTTTCTTATCTTACAGTCGTTAAAACAATATAAGAAGATAACACATGGTATCCATGTGTGAAATAAGGGGAAAGTCTACTGAAGGAAAATGGCTGCCAATGATGAAGCATTAAGCTTCATTAATGTGCTGGATTACCAGGAGGATGATGAGCATCCTTCATTATGCTATGAAGATGATGATGACAGCATCATTGAGGAGGTGGAGTTACTGAAGTAACTTTTTATTTTTTATCAGAATTTGTTGTTTTCTAAGTACAGTAGGTTAATATAAATGAATTACGGTACTGTAGGTACTGGATAATGCTTTGATTGAATATGAATCTGTGACAGGTGTGAATCTTGCTATAAATTTGATCAGATATTTCTCTGAGAATTCTTCTATGAATTTGGTATACTCATGGAATGTTCATCAAATATTTCAAATGTTTTTAAATATCAAACTATTAAATTATAGTATTAAATGAAAATATTAAAATATGGTATTAAATGAAACTATTAAATTATAGTATTAAATGAAAATATTAAAATATGGTATTAAATGAAACTATTAAATTATAGTACTAAATGAAACTATTAAATTAAATTATTAAACCATTAAAAGAAACTTATTGGGAATCTGATTGAGCCATTTGGTGTACGTTTCTTTATCCATTTTTTAAACACTACACAGAAGGTGAAGGCCTTTATTTTTGTTGTAGCCAAAACTAAGTTAATTGCTGTGATAGATATATAAGTCATAGTGAATTGAGTTGCATTAATTCCTTAATTCTTTTACTAAGGCAGGAGTAAAATTAGCCAATATGTTAGGGCTAAGGGTGAAAAGTTCTCTATTTAAATTTATCAGTAACAGTTTTCTGTTTTTTTTTGTTATATGGGTTGATTGTAATCATTTTCAACACAAGTAATTTGTAAATCTTGCAACAATGTTAATACTCTTCTAGTGAATTGAATGAGATTTTTAATTTATTTGTCCTTTTCTAATTGAATTTAGTATCTTGGAGGTATCAGACATGTTTACACATCAGTCTATCGTAAAAGGTATTCAACATACAGTACCTCCATTTTTAATGTTGTTGTAAAACAATTTCCTGGCCTTAGTGAAACAAGCTTCTAAATGCACCAATGGATATCATAAATTACTGCTAGTTTGTATGTACTGTATTATCTCCAATAAAAAATTGTAATGTTCAGTGTTTACAATGTTTAAAAGCTTTTCTGAACATGGAAGAAAAGACTGCCATTTTTATGTCCAAAGAAATAGTGGGTATATGAAGAGTTATTTGTAGGTTTTCTTTTTAAAACCAAATACAGTATTATATATTTGGTTTTAATATAAAACCCAAAAAATATTTATGTATTTTAAGTAAAGTTTTGAACTATGCCAAGTCCATTGCACTCTCCTGAGTGCATTGTCAAGGTCTGAGTATATGGTTTGGATAAAACTTGTGTCTCAATAACTAATACAGTTGCTAACATGGATCCAGTCCTCTTATTCTTCTTGAGCTCCTCATCATGTCACCTCCATTCCCAACTGCTAATGTTCCCGAGGGGATGTCTTCTAGGGAATAAGGTCATTTGTCATTTTCTGTCATCCTGGGATTCTGGAAACTGACGTTGTGAATAAAGGTATCCATTTGGATGCTATTCTTTGTAAATCCCTTCATACCCAAAGGAGAGCGGCTATGGGGACTATAGTACAGTACAGTACAATACTTGGATTTATCCATCTGTTTTAATCTAATTTTAATTCACTCAAAATTTTCTTCTTGTAATGCTATCCTCAGAAGTAAAGCTTTTGTTTCCTATGAAAGTATTTAAAGTATTAATTAAAACGCCTTTTACAACCCTTCTAGGTCTAATATTATTACTTTTATAGATTATTCCACATTTCTTAAAATCAATACAGTATTGTGATCCTTTTCCCAGTTGTGGTTTGTATATAGAATTATGGATGATAATAGTGCTGTAGCAAACCATAGTTGGGAAAAGGATCATAATATTATTGTAAGAAGTGTGAAATAATCTATAACAGTAATAATATTAGAACTAAACAGGTAGTAGAAGGGGTTTTGATTAGTACCAATACTTTAAATATTGCATTACTCGATATTCCTAGAGTCGAACTGAACTTGTGCAAACACTCCACGCAAATTAAAGGACCCAGTGTATGGAAGCAGCTCACTTCCTAATGAATTAAACCAAATTTTCCCACCTATGCTTTATTCAAAAGTAAAACCAAATAGTACCTAATTTCATCCTCATAGTCTCCCACCTTGTGCTAGTGTTCTGCTAGTGTATCTATATTACATTTTTCAGTTAAGGATCTGCCCAAAATGCTATACATGTTGGGAACTTTGCAAGAAGGTAATATTCAAACACCAATGTTATATACTCTTATAACCCAGTATACCTTTTATATAAATAAATAAATCAACTTTTGCTGGAAACAAAAGCTTTACTTCCAAGGATTGCTTTACATGAAAAATTATTTTGTGTTTGCAGATGATGAGTCACAATAACGTGGCTGAAGATATAATGACCAAACCACACACCAGAAGATGAGACAACGATGTTTCGGTCTGTCCTAGATCATTATCAAGTCGATTGTGGTAATGATCGCTGTAGGCCACTCAGTAGTTCCTAGTACTCACCCAGTTCCCTTCTTTTACCATGAAAGTTGAGGGTGTTTTTTCTGTTCAGGTAGCTCATGAATCAACTTATCCTCTTACAAATTACGTCTGAATTTGGCCGTTTACCCGTATGGCCGAAAATGGACATAATTTGAAAATGAAAAAATAATTGAAAATAAATTTTGGATTTTTTTCTTCAAAAATTGCAAGTTAAGGGTCCACTGGTAGGTTAGGAGGGCAGGAAGTTCTCCTAAGGTTTCAAAACGTCATGAAAACTTAATTGAAAGTTTCCTCTCCTAACCTAACCGAGCAAGCCAGAGGACTCGAAAAGAAAATGGGACAGTACATCACTTTTGTGAGCCGATTTCTTTTAAAATTATGTCCATTTTTGGCCATACCGCGCATACGAGTGAAAAGCGATGTTATTCTAAGAGGACAGGTTGCATGGATGAGGTGGTTGGCTGGCAGGGATCCTTGTACAGATTTGGCTGCCATTTGGTGGTAGTCAAGTGCATTACTAGTACAGTGTTTACCTGCAGCATGAGTTGCTTGCCTTATTTTCTAGATTACTAATTTCCTGGAAGCAGTTACTTGTTTTGATGTTCTTATACTTTCTGGTTGTTGTTTCTCTGCTTTGTGTTGATATTTGGCCCCCACTCATCCCTTGCCTAATAGTGTCAGATTCTGGTCCTGGTTCCCAGATGCTCACATGGGTCTCGAAGGCATTTTGCAATTCCCTAAAGCTTGGCAGCTTGGCAGCTTTAGCATTGTGGAGCTAGTGAGTGGGCCACCAGACAAAAATGTTTCATTACATTCAGTGTTTGATATTGGGACAGAGATTATTGAGAAATGTTTGGGAACAAAATGCAATGCTTACACTGGCTAAATATATTACAGTACCTCAGATATGATTGCATGATGATAAATATTTTACTCTGGTTTTAATTGCTCACTTGCTAAGTGTAAAGTCACAAGTATTACCTCATTTGAGATAAGATCAACAAGGGGTGAACAATGCCTAATTCGAGATTGCTTATCTTTAACTGTACTCCCATGTGCATTGTATTGAGGAATCTCAAATCAAGCTTTATATCAGTGTATCAGTGGTCATTTTTTTGTTGACATTCACTTAAACTGGTCATGATGAATTTGTCCAGAGAGATTGTACTCACTGCAGTATAAAAAAAAGAGTGATGGATTTCTCCAGTAAAATTCAAACATGGAAGAGGGCTTTTGCAAGAAATAGATCCCCAACAGATCACGAAATGGTTTCAATGCCTTCTGCACAAGTGGATCTAAAGGGAAGAACATTTGAAAAAAGAAATTTTATTGTAAGTTTAATTTGTGATTCTGGTGGATATTCTTATTAAAGAAAGAGTATTATAATACCATAAGTGAGGGATATTCCAAGGTAAAAATTGCCATTAGTGATGTTTTAGTTTAATAAGTGAGGAAATGTGTAATTATTTCCAATTGTTGAGTTTGTAGCATGAATTTTGTCCCTTCCCGACCATGTTGGAGGCCTTGTCTACCCCGCCTCCATGGCAAGTTTCTGAATTCCAAGTTTGTAGCTTGGCTCCACATGTGCAAAGTTTCATCTCCCTCCCCATCCCCTTACCTTCATGTCTCAGTTAGCGGAGCTTGCATCAGATCTTGCTCTGGTGCTATGATCATGACTTTGCCTTATATCTGAGCTCATGTTATTTAGTGTTGCTGCTTGCCACTTTTTTTTTTTTTTTAGCTCATTCTCTTTATGGTGAGGATTGCTTCCATTCTTCAGTCACAAAGTCAAACAAACTTATTGTTTGACTTTGCTTGTTCTACCCTTGGAGTAGTCCTTTTTGTCGTGTTTGGGTTCTTGCCCACATTTGTGTTGCTGTGTTCAGGTTTCTGAGTTGTGTATGTAAGGGTTTACAATTTCCCTGTTTTCTTTAAGGGGACTTTTTTTTTTTTTTTTTTTTTTTTTTTTTTTTTTTTTTTTTCTTCTCCCCAGTTCTGGGTTTGCAACTTTGTGGACAATTTATTTCCATGGTTTTCTATGATGGCTTTTACCCTTTTCTATTTCCTGTAGTGCTTCTGTTGCCTCCTGGGCTGTGGGCACTCTTCCCTTGCTTTTGGAGTGTAAAAGATTTTCCTGTGATATTTCTGGCTTTCCTGCTCTGCTGAGGATGTCTCTGCAGTGCCTTGGAAAAGGAGGACTTTGTGTATTTCTGGATATCAGTGTAAGGGCATGACCTGGTAAGCCACACCCTAGAGTATGAACTCATGAAACCTGTCCTTATTTTCTTATTTACAGTACAGGTACATTACTTTAAACTAGGGATGTAGAACCAATATGCATTTATATACACTTCATTCAAACACAAGGGTGACCACATGGGGTGGTCAAATGGGATTCTACACACTGTGTGAGGTGTGTACCTCACACAGTGGGGTGAGTACCTCACGAGCACACACCACACAACCTGTGTGTGTGGGGTCTCGGTCCTTTCTCTCCTCGTGAAGTGTAGGGACGCTCCTCTCACGAAAATGTGCGGGAAAACTTTGCACAAAGAATCATACTTATTTAGTAATACATATTATCAAACACAAATGAAACATAAAATTAACACAAATAAAACAAACTGATATTTTAACTGAGAGAAACATTTATATTAATAATAACCAAAGCTGAACTTTATATACCAGGTTATTACATTAGCCTCTTGGCTGAAGCCACTTTTGCAGGCTCACATTTTTACTTTGTCTTGGGGTGGCAATTTTTTTTTTTAGGATGGCAATTTGGGCTCTCTTTGGCCCTCTGCCTGGTGTTTCTGATATTTGGGCAGAGTTCTCAGGGGGTACCCTTGGTCGTTGAGACTTGGTTTTCAACCAGGAGTGAATCAAACGCACTATTCTTTCACAGCATTTCACTACTGCTTGCTGACTACAAAGGGTGGGTGAGTGGGTCCATTTGGATGCATTATTTGTTAATCCTGTGTCATTCGTTCTTTGTTCTTGGACTTGCTTGTTCCAGGCAGTTAGAAAGATGGTCTTGTTTAGCCAGCATGAGAAATATTCTTGTGCTCATTATACACAATTTTGTGACCTTGTTGACCTTCTCCGGTAATATATCCCTGACAAATAATTGGGGTTTGGGTTTCTCTTGCTGGGATGCTGGCTACCCAGTACTTGGTGAATGTTCCTTGGCTGCACCTGGCTTACTTGGCGATGGGTTAGTTGACCCATCACTAAGTGCCTCTGCCTCTTCATGGTTTCACCGGTAAGCCCTGGCCAATGCTGTTCTTTTCAGAGTTGTAGGACCCCCTTTATTACAACTCCATGGTGAGGTAACATTGGGGAGCTACTGAGGAAACCATCCCAGAAATCCGGAATTGAATGTAATGAAATGTCTTTCTGGTGAGCCCTCAGTACCTCCCATTTCTCAACCTTTACCCCATCTTTCCATGGTGCTCAAGTGCTTTTTATTTGTGCAGTTAGCTGGTGGACCGGGACCTCGGGTCACAGGAGCTGTTCTCTGGTGGTGACTGAGTAGAATGGGATGGGATTTAACCACAACAATTACTATTTTCATAGTCACAGTTATTAATGTTTCCATGCAGTTGCTTGTTTAGGAGTACTCTCCCTTTCGCATGGTTATTCTCTTAATACTCTTGCGATCCGAGATTTTCAGGTTTTCCTTAGCCTTCTTTGGGGGACCAGATTCCGGTCTAGGTCTCAAGTAGGTGCTCATGAGTCAATAGTGACCTGATACAGTGCATAAATCTTGGAAAGTTCCAGGATGTAGTATTGGGGTACCTCTGAGGGCCCATTCAGAAAGAGGCATTTTATTTCATTCAACACTGGGCTTTTGCTAAGATGAACATTGAAAAAGTGGCTATTCCAGATACTGCATGTTTAACACAGGTTTGTAAATTATTATTATTTTTTTGTTTCAGGCGCAGCACTACACTAGTGGGCTAGATGCACATGAAGAATCTGGGGATGTTGTTGATGGCTGCAACTCCACTGAAGTTGAAGACAAGGCAGGTCTGTCCTCACAGCATTCTACATGTTTGTTATAGCAGTTGGTAATTTGTCTTTCTTGTGTTATTTAAACAAGTTCATCCTTGTTTTAATGCTGGTATTTTCACATCTCTACATGCCTTTTAGGGAACTACTGGGTCTGGATATTATCCTATTGTATAAAATTTTTGAATAATAGCACAGATGCCTTACTTCCTTTTGTGAATTTCTCCATGAACCTTTCACACTTTCATGCTCTCTAGCTCCTTCCCATAATTTTCTTTCATATATTGCTCTAATTCCCTTTCAAGATAATAGTTGTCTGCCTCTGCCATATGATCCTCTTATTGCACTTTTGTTTGGCATTCTAGTTACATAACTCTGAGGCATTGTAATGTATTAACGTGTCCATTGTCTATACTACCTTGGTTTATGACCATTTGCTTGTGAAATACAGGTATTAGCTTCAAGAAATTATTAGGGGACAACTGCTTAGTAATCTTTTCAGCATCTTTAAATTAATTTTAGCTTTTTGCAGTAGTATGTCAAACTATAGAACTTTTACAATTTCATGTTATTTTCGTACAGATAAAACTCAAAATGAAACTCTATCAGTGGGAAATAGCACTTTCTATCCTGACCAGCAGGAAAGTCCTTCAGATGAAAACCGTGGTCAACTCAACGTTTTGTCAGCAGCCTATGAGGTCAGTGTAACATGTGTTCAGAATCTATTTAATGTTAGTGTTTTTCTGGGAGGGCTTCCTGTTACAAATTGTAAATTGACAGAGAGATGAATAACAACCTAGAGGTTATTAACACAATGACCTATCCTCATGCCTATGACATTCGTAAGTATGCTGATTTGGCTGCCGCCTTCGGCAACATGTCTTTGGGTGACATGTGGGAGCGGGGATTTTGGAGGTCGAACGGGTAAACATTCCTGGTCATTCATGTGTGCCTTTGGGTCGCAGGTTGCAGCCAGTTGTCTCGACTTCGAGTTGAGGCGTGCGTGGTGGCCGCCTCCCGGGTAAGTCCCTCATTTACTTATCTTTGGTTATGTAGTTCCAGGGAGCCAACGGGGCTCCTCACAGAAAATCAGCAATAAATGTAATGAAACGCCATTTTCTGGGTGTGTCCTGAAGGCTGCCTGGCACCCTCCCTCTCTCCGGTCGGCGGTTCCGTTTTCTTTTTGATGCTCAGCCTTCAAAGTAGGAGCGTGAGTAGCCAGTGGGGGCTTCCCCTCCCCCCTCCCTGTGAGGAAATGGCTGAGTGGTGTCAGTGTATGACCTTTGCTGGTTTCCTTGTCTCTTTTGGTGATGGGGAGTTCTGCCTCTCTGTTTGATCTTCGGTTGCAATTTTCTTACCATTGGGTTTTTTCTGAGGGGGGGGGGGAGCCCCTACAGCTCCCCAGAGCTTATCCAGGCTGATATGGATCTATTAGATTTTGGCATCAGTCTGTGTGAATGGAGTTCCTAGACCTACCGAGAACCACGAGCCAGAGCTTGGCCCCCTCAGAGAGGCACAAGGAGCCTTCACAGCTTGTGTCTGGGCTATAGCGCTGGGGTTGCCAAGTCTTAATTAGACTTGGCAACCCCAGTGCTATAGCTCAGAAAGCTTCGGAAGGGGCCTTCCTTGGGAATACCTTTGATATCGTCTATTTTCAGTGGCAATACAGAATTATACAAATACAATTGTAATAACTTAAGTGGTACCTGTTGTTAATTGGGGGTGAAGGAAATATTAATTGTGACAATTTTACTTGTACTGTAGTACAGTACTTATAAAAATGCTTGGCTACTGGTGTCAGTATTTTGCTAGTGTGAGGTACTAGTTTCTTATGGCTTTGTTGAGTGTGGAAAATATGGAAGGTTGGGTGTCACTGAATATTTTGAACACTTCATGTATTTTTCCATCTTTATGAAGGAAGTGCTTCCCAACCCCATGAAAGTGGGAAGCAGCATAATGATGTTGTGATGTTTGCAAATATATGGTTAATTTTGTATTAATTTTCATTCCAGAGCTTGGATTATGAAATCTGTGTTAATTCTGCATGGCTTGATGAAGAGCGCACTAAAGGATATACATTTGTGGTCAAGAAGGATGTCGCCCGTTGGCTGGTTGTGTTGCTGACAGCTGTTCTTACTGCTTTAATAGCTTGTGTTATTGATATTACAATTGAGAGTCTCTCAAAATTCAAATATACATGGCTGAAACAATGTATCCTTTTCTTGTTTTCATACATGGTTGGAGTGACTAATTATATTGTATTTATTTTTATTCAATGGTTGATTAATAGTAAACAATAGAATGTCAACATGTTATAATAATTTAAAGCACGTTAGCCTGTTAAAGAATTAATTAAGTTTCTGGGGGGGAGCTCCTTGTGGCTCCATGAAACTACAATGCTGATATAGTGTCAAACTACTAGGTGCCATCAGTCACAGAGTTCTTTTGGCCTACTGGGGACCATGCACCAGATCCTTCTAAAAGAGGTGGAGAGAACAGTGACACTATGGCAAAATTGTCAGTGAATTTTAACCATGTCTGCCGCCACTGGGGAAGGATGCACCACAGAGTCGGCAAAACAAAACAGACTACTGCTGGTTATAAGGAAAGAACAATGACTCAATTCATCAAAAAAATTCCCCCAGTTATGTAAACAAATGATTGAAAATTCATGAAACTAGTTCAGCTCGTTTGCCACCCCTTTTTTTTCCTCATTTAGGGGAGGAAGTAGGCAGAATGATGTGATGCACCACCATCAGTACTTGCTGTTGATAGCTTTTGCCTGTTTGACTGCTCAGTCACTCTGACTCCAGTGATCTGTTTCGATAAGTGGTAGTGAAGAGTGAGTCATTTGACTTCCAGAGGGATCCTTTGGTGATTGATGCTTGGTTCTGTCATCATCCTGGCTAGAAGACTGTCTGTTGTTGATGGGGGTCTCTTTGATCAGTGGCTCTTTGGGGCTGGTCGCTTTGGGAAGCTCTTCTGCCGAGTTCTCAGGGTTTGCATGTCTGCGCCGTTCATGTTCTGGGAGTGTTCAACGTCCTGGCTGATGATCTGTCTCACTTTATTCCTCTTTCCATGGAATGGACAGTCAATGCTAATTACTTCCTCTGGCATTGCTGGACGTTTGGGTGCCCAGATGTCGACCTCTTCGGGTCGGTGTGGTCTCTACATCTTTCTCTTTATGCACTGACATTCCATGACTGCGAGGCCCTCACGGCAGACGCCTTTTGGCAAGATCAGTTGAGGTGGGGGTGCATTTACCTCTTTCCTCCGGTCCACTGTTATTCCAAGAGCCAACTGTTTCTATTGTCATGCTCATGGTGTCTGGAAATACTTTGATGGCCATGTTTGGTAATATGTCTTGGACCGATATTCGAGTGCTGAGGTTTTGAAGGTTGAACAGGGTCTCGGCTGCCGGGTACCTTGTTAATGTCTCTGGTTCTTTGCATCCTTGTGTAGCTTTGGGCCATGTGTTGTAGCCATCAGTCTTGCCTTCAACTTGATACCTGCAGTACTACCACCTCCCTGGTAAGTGCCCCTTCTTTGTCCTTCTCTGTGGGTAGTTAGCTTCAGGGAGCCGCTGGGGCTTTCTATAGAAAACCAGTGTTGAATGTATTGAAATGCCTGTTTCTGGGGGATCTGCAGAGGCTCCCTAACACCCTCCCTCCCCTAGGTCATCAGTGTGTTTTATCATTCTAGAACTGATCAGTGTGGAGCCCGGTTGACCCAGGCTGGCTTTCCCCAACAAGGTGGGGAGGTGGAGCAAACTTGCAGGGGGGGGGGCTAGTTGCACAAAAGTTTGACTGCTTATTTTCATTGTTGGGGAGCTCTGTTGGTAATTTTGAGGCTGTGGTATCTTTTTTAACTATGCAATGGTCTGTTTTGATTCGCCTATCTTTCTGGGTGCCTTTCCTAGGTAGTGGCAAAGATGATAACCTTTAAATGTAAAGTGATCTTAGGCCAAAGCTCCCTGTGCCTTTCTAAGAGGACCAGGTTCTGGCTTGTGGTCCCTGGCAGGTAAATAGAACTCCACGAATGATGGCAGTAGGTAGATTGACCAGACCACACACTAGAAGGTGAAGGGACGACGACATTTCGGTCCGTCCTGGACCATTATTCTCAAGTCGATTGTGATGAGGAAGTAGATGCAGGCAATAAAGAGGCATGAGAGAGGTGAGGAGCAAAGTAAGGTGTTGTAGAGGGGATAGTAGTAGGAATAAGAACTGCAGAGGGCCTATTGGCCCATACGAGGCAGCTCCCATTATAACCACCGAATGAGAAGGAGATAGTAATAGGAGTAAGAAGAGGATAGTAAGGGAACATAAGAGAAAACAATGAACAGAAAAAAAGAGAGAAAGAGAAAGAAAGATAAATGGAAGGGTAAGTTTATGTTAGGTCACGTTTGTTAGAAAGATTAGAGCATTTCAGTATATACTGTGAAAGGGAAGAGTCCACAGCAACAAAGCCAGGACTCAAGTTCATGTTGGGTACAAGAACTTGAGTCCTGGTTTTGTTGCTGTGGACTCTTATCACGTTATTGTGACTCATCACCTGCGGCAGTAGGTAGTATGGCACTGATCAGTGTATGACAACTTCAGGGAGCCTCTGATGCTCACCCAGAAACTGTCATTTCATTACATTCAACCCTGTTTTTTCCTTAACTAATTCATCAGATACTGATTATGGTGTCGAAAAGAACGTATTAATCATTCCATTTTTGCTGTGGGCTGCCTTGAATATTGGGCCAACCCTAATAGCTGCCTTTCTTGGGTCTTGTGTGGAAGTGAGTTAATTTATTCTGTAGTTTAAAATGAATTCTCTCAAGATTATATTGTCTAAGCTCGCTTAGATAATATAATCGCATTATTCAACCAAGTTTCTGGTTATCTGAATTTTTGTTCGGATATGGCAAAGTTTGGCCCCAAATATTCAGTTCAGTGGGCTTTGGACAATTGAGCTCATACAGTAGTAATAATTACAATTTTTACCTCGTTCATTCTCCTTTTTTTTGTCTATTTGTCTCTTTAAATGCTGCCTGATATTTAAATATTTTATTTTGTTGAGATTGGTTAAAGATCAAGATCAAACTTGATACAAAATGAGACTATTTTATAGTTGACTTACCTTTTTTTTTTGTGTGATGAGCTCCTTTGTGGCTCCTTGAAGCTATCTTGCTGAGAGTGCTCCTGTCTACCAAGTCACATCAGTTGCAGGAGTTCATTAGCCTACCAGGGACCAAAACCAGAACCTGGCCTCCCCTCACAGAGGTGCTGAAAACTTACAACTGCAAGGTTTACAGGAAGCAAAATTTAAAAAATGGCAAACAACTCTACAAACAATTAAAATTAAATGATGAAATCACTCGAGACTAGCTCGAATCCTTAGTACTGTACCACCAAACCGCCACCAGGGGCCCGGAAACAAACATGAAGTAAATAAATTACGATTACATGACATGCTTTACTGCTTAGCAGCTGTTAAAAGTTTGGTGTGTTCAACTTTGCCAAATACTGTACTTTGAAGGTAGCTTTAAACAGTAAGAACAGAACTACCCTGTGAGATTTATTACTGAAATGTTTTTGCTAACAAGAAATTAAATAGCATTATAGAGTAACCAGTTTTGTATGCAAATTTTAAGTTAGAGATGTATTGTTCATCAGCTGGAAAGTCAATTTGTTTATAATTAGATACATTTTTAACATTGTGTTTTTCACGATGGCTTTATATTGAGAGGAATACATAGTACACATAACTCCAGGATAACTGGGTTTTCAAGATATGACTTAGAAGTATAGTTTAAATATTAACTGACCTGAGTCAGTGATGTGAAATAACAAATTAAATTACAGGGAGTTCTGTAGGATTTGAACACATTGTCACAGATAAGTCACACTAGCCACAAGGCTACTGATATAACAAAAGGGAAGCATGATACAGTCAGGGATACATCCAAGGTTTGGAAGACTACTGATATAACAAAACGGAAGCAAGATACAGTCAAAGATAAGGATAATATGTGGAAAACCAGCACCTGTCCTTGCAGGTACTCATGCATAACATAACATAGTTTTGGCAGATTTATGGTTGGTAGATTGAAATCCCCACAGAATTTGTATTTTTATTAAACACTAATTTTAATGTGTTCATATTTGCCTGATGGTATGTATGTTATATAAATATATTGTTGTTCTAATAACGCTTGTCCTTGGAAAGCCTGCGGCAGCAGGCAGTGGTATTCCTCAGGTGAAGTGTTATCTAAATGGTGTGAAGGTGCCACGAGTTGTGAGAGTAAAGACCCTGCTCAGCAAAGTTGTTGGAGTCACCATGTCTGTCCTTGGTGGCCTGGCTGTTGGAAAGGTAATGGTGATATTTTTCTTGTGCTCTTAATTTATATAAAACATGTAATCCTCTTGCCACTTCCTCATATCCTAGCAGTTCCTCTCATTTTTACAACTCCACATGGGTGCTTGGCATTCTTAATCAAACATTCCTTGTTTTGTTATTAATTCCAAGCAAGTGTGTGGAATTGCACTAGCTGGTAGAAGAATAAAAGGAACTGCTTGGTTGGATGATGTAGTAAGAGTGGTTGATATAATGAATTGCTGTAGGTAAACTATGTGAACAAATTTGTTATGCTGAAAAACTACTGTAAATGAATAGTTAGGAAGAAAAATTCTAAATTGTTTTAGACAAAAAGTTCTCTTTGGAAAACGTAAGGTGCTGCTTCAAGGCGCTTGGTTAAAAGTAAACAAGAATGTTAAAGATAAATATGAAAGAATTTTAAATTGTTAAGAGGGTATTAACAGTGGATGGAGAGAGTGCCTAAACCTGGCATCCCCTCTGAGAGGTGCAAAGACCAGGGATGTTAGATCAACATAACTGAGAAATTAGCCACCAGAAAGTTAAGAGCAAACAAAACAGACAACAGCAAGGCAAATGTAAAAACTCAGAAAATGAGACAACCAATATTCACCCTCTTGTAGCCACTGGCCATCACTAGGAGCTCCCAGATCATCTGGTACAACCCATTGTTCATTTGCTTGGTGTAACTACTGTCTTTACTGCTCCTCAAGTCATCTTGAGGAGCAGTAAAGGATGGATGCTCTAGAGTTGACTCCAGATTGAGGATGCTCCAGAGTTGACTCCAGATTGAGGATGCTCCAGAGTTGACCCCTTAGTGTTTTCATATTTCAGAGTTCGAGTGCCTGGTAGTTTCCATATTGGGCCTTCTAGGTTGTCCCCTGTGGTCTGGGAGGGATGGCCTTTGGTCCCCTTTATCCCTTTTTGTTTTGGTATCATTGATCCTGGGCTGGCCTCTTTCCTATAACTCCATCCAGTTTTTACAAGTAGGTTGGAAGCTTGGCAGTTTTGTCCATCTGCTCTTGGTGGGTTCCATTTTAGTTTCCTTCACTGCTTGGGTCTCTCCAGCTCTGAGGTTCATCTTTGTCTTCTCGGTTTATTGTTTGTTGTTTTTTCTGTGCGCTCTTGCTTAACCTTCAGAGTTTGGTTTGGCCTTGTAGGCAGCTTCTTGGTGTCTTTTTCCTGACTGTAGGCTGCCTCTTGGCCTATCCTATATTTCTTTTTCAGGGCTTGTTTTTGACGGGGTGTTCTCGAAGTCTCACAAAGGAGTCAAAGACCTGTCAAAGACCTGACCTGTGCAAAGACCTAAGGGTGAGGCTTCCTTCACAGGAGGATGACCTCTCAGGGACGATAACCTGAACCAACCAGGGAAGACAACCCTGTCAAGGCAGGGAGCAACAACAGTCAAATTCTAGAGAAGTCAAACTCTGGACACATACATCTGAAGGTGTATAGTTTACCAGAGTTCAGAAAAAAAGTGAGCCACAAAAACATATGCATGTGAAGCAAATACAATACTAAAAAAAGAGAGACAAGTAGATAAGCAAGTGGGCCCCTGCAGGACAGAGTCCAAAGGATGGTCGTCACTTATCTTAAAAACTGGGACTCGAAGAATGTCAATGGTTACAAGGAGCGGGAGCAACGTTAGACAGTCACACTAGGCTTAATGACTGATAAGTCTGGGCAGAGCCAGTAGATGGGGATGCTGCCACTTGGTAGTGGGCAACTACTACTATTTAGTGAACTGTTTTGGGGTCTTCTTTTTTCTTTGTTTTGCACTACTTTTCTGAGGTCTCTTTTGGTCTGAGTGATCTAGTATCCTCAGCTCCCTGTAGTATCTCCATAGAGGGAAAGGGAGCAGGTTTTGGTCTCTGGTACATGGTAGGCTTACAGTGACTCAAAAGGGTCTGATGAGATTTGAATTGGGTGGAGGTATCTAGGTTGCTGGCAACAGGGTGCCACCCAACACCCCCTAAAAAAATAAAAGGCATTTCTTTATATTCATTGCTAGTTTTATAACAGTGTGCTTAAGCAGCATATGTATTTCTCTAATGATAAAATAAAAATTTTCACGTATTTTGAAATAAATAGAACACATGGCTTAATGAATTTTGAGTATCATTAATCTTCTTTTCCTAAATTGCTCTCCAATTTCTTTCAGGCTGATGGCTCATCCTATGAGAGTGGTAATAGGGAAATTGTAATACAGTACTATAATAATAATAATGCTTCAAATTAATGCAGGTTTATATTTGACAGGAAGGGCCCATGATTCACTCTGGAGCTGTAATAGCAGCAGGTGTATCCCAAGGGAAGACAACTTCTTTCAAGCGGGATTTTGGTGTTTTCGAATATTTTCGGGAGGACCACGAAAAACGAGATTTTGTATCTGCTGGTGCAGCCGCTGGTGTTGCTGCAGCTTTTGGTGCTCCAGTTGGTTAGTTCAGATTACATATACTATTATAATTCTTAATACTATAGCTTAACTGCATAGCTATCCATGAGTTTGTGTGAAAAATCTGTGGACATAAAGAGTAGTTATTGTGTGTTGTGTTGTCAGTACTGTACTACTTTCTTTTCTGGCGGATCCCTGATGCACTCTCTCACTGAGATTACTCCATTCTAATGGGTCACATTAGTCAAAGGAGTTTTATTTGGCCTACTGTGAACCAGAACCAGAGCCAGGTGATTCAAACTCGGGAAAATCCACCACCCCACCAGGAAAGCATCCAGAAAGTCAGCAAAGCTTTACAGACAACTGCAAGGGTCACAGAAAACAAAGCATTGATACCACCAAACAACTCTACAAACGATTCAAACGAAACAATTGGTTCACTCAAAACTAGCTAGAACCCTATACAGTTAGTACTGATAGCATTCACCAGGCAGCCCCAGGCTCCTGCCCACAGCCATCTTTCCTGTCTTAGTTCTATTGCTGATATATATCAGAGCCTGCCTCAAAGGAGAAGGCATATTAGACAGCTACCACTTTGCAGAGCTCGTTTTTCCCACATTCGGTCTTCATGGCATGATGTTCAATTGGATGCCTCAGTGTATATTGTGATGCCATCTGGGCAAAGTGCAGGGTCATCCTGGTTTTGGTCCACTAGGATGTGGGGTTCTCTCTTTGCTGGGCACTGAGCTGAGGCAAGGCTCCTCTTGATGTCATTCACCTTGTTGTGTCTTGCATGCCAGCCCTTGGAGCATACATACATACATACATACGTACATACATACGTACATACATACGTACATACATACATACATACATACATACATACATACATACATACATACATACACACACACACACACACACACACACACACACACACACACACACACACACACACACACACACACACACACACTTTTCATGACTTTTGTTAGGCCAAAGCTAGAATATGCAGTTGTTGTGTGGTGCCCATATCTTAAGAAGCACATCAACAAACTGGAAAAGGTGCAAAGACATGCTACGAAGTGGCTCCCAGAACTGAAGGGCAAGAGCTACGAGGAGAGGTTGGAAGCATTAAACATGCCAAAACTAGAAGACAGAAGAAAAAGAGGTGATATGATCACTACATACAAAATAGTAACAGGAATTGATAAAATCGACAGGGAAGATTTCCTGAGACCTGGCACTTCAAGAACAAGAGATCATAGATTTAAACTAGCTAAACACAGATGCCGAAGAAATATAAGAAAATTCACTTTCGCAAACAGAGTGGTAGACGGTTGGAACAAGTTAGGGGAGAAGGTGGTGGCGGCCAAGACCGTCAGTAGTTTCAAAGCGTTATATGACAAAGAGTGCTGGGAAGACGGGACACCACGAGCGTAGCTCTCATCCTGTAACTACACTTAGGTAATTACACTTAGGTAATTACACACACACACACACACACACACACAATAGTGTATTTATATATACATTTACACATTTTGTTTATGTTGTGAGGTCTGATTGCGTAAAATTGTATGTAGATACAGGGTATAGTATTTAAACTTCATATATTTTCAGGTGGGGTGTTGTTCTCCCTAGAAGAGGGAGCCAGCTTCTGGAACCAGGGTCTCACCTGGAGAGTGTTCTTTGGTGCCATGATGTCTACATTTACCTTAAATTTAGTCCTTTCAACCTACAATGGAGTACCAGGTAAGATCCCTTGGTCCAAATGGTGCAAAATTTGGGTGGATTGGGCATCAGGCCAGAGACAGTAGAAAAAAACATTAGGAAGATCACAATAATACCCTTTCGTTCACCATGTATTGCATGCTACACAACGTAACAGAATCAGCATCACCAGTCGCCAGCAGATCCTGCACAGCAGCACACTACCACTTCATAACAATTGATGTGTAATGCTACTCATGATGTAAGGTTTCAACTGTTGGTATATTTTTTTTTTTATAGGTAAGCTTGCTTACAATGGCCTACTGAACTTCGGCAAGTTTGATGATCTGACCTATGAAATTTGGGAGTTTATTCCCTTTCTGCTGATGGGAGTCATGGGAGGCCTACTGGGAGCACTTTTTAACCATATCAACCTAAAACTCACTGCTTTCAGGATGAGGTACAGTATATGTAAAGTCTTTCATGGTTTGATTTAACTTCCCATAGGCTACAACAGATTTCTAAATTTGTTAATTTTTTTGTTTACAGAATAACAACATACACCATTTGTACTTGCACTAAACAAATGTGAAATAATTTAAGATTAGTTTCATTATAGTATAAAAAAAAAAAGATAAAATTCAGAGGTAATAATGCACATGGAGCAATGTTAGGTGAAGAACAAGTAGTTGGCCAAGATGGCGTCTCACCTCGGGTTGAGAGAATACACACACGAGCTGAGCATTCCACATCAATAGATTTTTCAGGGATGTTTATGTACAAGAATCTTAACTTATATATGAATGTTCAGGAATGTTAGCATATATATGAAAAAAGGCAAACATTGTTCCAGTCTACAAAAATTGTTGCAGAAAGACCCCTCTAAATTACAGATCTGTATCATTGACAAGCATGTTGTCAAAACACTTAAAAAAATATTGAAAATGAAAATTAAAACCTGGAAATAAATGACATAATAACAAATACAGTATTGTTTTTGAACAGGAAGATCCTGTGTAACATATATTCTTAGTTTTCTAGGGGGAAGAGCCCCATTGACTCCCTGAAGCTATCACACTAATTAAGTGCTATACTACTAGGCATCATCAGTCTCAGAGTTCTATTGGCCTACTAGGGACCACAAACCATAACCTGGCCTCCCTCAGAGAAGCACAGGAAACGATGGCCTATAACGCTTTAAATTTAAAGTTTATCGTTTTTGCCACTACCAGGAAAGCACCCAGAAAGATTGGCGAATCAAAAAATTTATAAAAAAAACTCTACAACTGATGGCATCTTGTAGTTTGGCACTGTTATCAGCTTCAGGGTGCCACTGGGGCTCACCCAGAAATTGGCATTTCATTACATTCAATGCTGTTATTCTGACGGGAGTCCCTATGTCTCCATGGAGCTATCAGGCTGATGTGTGTTATATTAGTCTGGGGCAAATTGGTTGGAGTTATTAGTTGGAGTTCAGCCTACTAGGAGACCATGAGCCAGAACCTGGGCAAAGGGAACAATGGCCTATAGAAAGCCCTCATGTGGTTGGGGGCATTCCATGTCTGCCATCGACTGGGGTTGGCACCCAGAAAGGTAGGAAAAAAAAAAAAAAAATCCACTAGGTAAGAAATTGCAACCAAAAACTGAACAGAGAGGCAGAACTCACCCTACAGGTGAGGTCCCTGGTAGGCTGAACTCCAATTGACTGATGCCCCAGACTAATATAACACATATATCAGCCTGATAGCTCCAGGGAGTCTCCAGGGTCTCGCCCAGAAAATGGCGTTTCATTACATTCAACGATGGTTTTTTCTGTCTTCCCACTGAATTCATGATTCCGATCAGAAAACAGCCACTTTCCTCCCTAGTTTGGGTGTAACAATGCCTGATTGTCAGACGCCTTGGTTCATGCACTATGTCACATCAGTGTGTCCCAGTTTTATATGCTAAGACCTAGATTTTAAGGTTTTCAGTTAAGTTGGTTTGTGAGTTAGGATAGTGTTGAGTGCGTGACAAGGCTGTCTTCTAGTGATGTCTGAGAGTAGTATCTTCCGTTGGTTGCCTTCTGCCTTTTATAGCCCCTGAACAGGATTAATGAGGTGCACTTATGCCTGATTGGCCTGTGAGCACCCAAGGTCTCTAACTTGCTATTGTTTTGTATGGCCAGTTCCTTGAATTTTAAGCAAAAAGATATATTATTACTGAAGTATTTATCGTGAATAGTTGCATGGATGAACTAAATAAAAAATATATTATTTTCAGATATATTAATAAGCCATGGCAGAAAATATTAGAAGCAGCAGTGGTTGCCTTTGTTACAGCTGGAGTGGCATTCCTCATGATATATTTGATTCACGATTGTCGTCTTATTGACCCTGATACTGCCACATATCCTATTCAGGTTAGTAACTTAACTCCTGCAGTGAACAATTCTCTGAGCTCATGGTCATCAATATTCACAATTCTTAAAATATTTCTGTAACAAATTATTACAAATTTCAAATAAATTTTATTCTGATATTAATATCAGTTCTGGAAATTTTAAATTATTACTCCCATATTTTATACTGTATTTTCTTGTAGGATGCAGAAACAAAATTGAGCATAAATATAAAAAATGATCTTAAAATTAATATTTTAATCAATGTTTTTGGCTACAATAGTGACACATGCTCCAATTTATTTATTTTTAATTAATTATTTGGTGTGTGTGTGTTATAACAAGATTTATGACTTTATTAGGTAATAATAACCAGAGAGGTTAAATTTTAGAAATTAAGAAAAACTCATTTCTTTAAATTTCCAGACAAAAAATGCCATATGACATAAGCCAGACTCACCTTAAATGAACCAAAATATATTATGCAAAGGTTAAACCAAGTTTACCTGGAGCATACCTGGAGAGGGTTTCAGGAGTTTTTCTACTCCACGAGCCTGGCCTGGGGCCAGACTAGGTTGAGTATATAATATACTGTACAGTACACTATACATAACCAGCCTTTGCCTCCCATCTTTCTGAAGTTTTGCTTCTGATGGCTAGACTTTAAGTTAAGGGTAACTACACCAATAATCCTGTTTTCCAGTAGTGCTTTCATTTGTTGAGTGCTACATAGCCTTCCCGGCTTGATGCCTTCTTGTGATAATTACTTACTTACTTTCATTTGTTGATAATGGTGTAGTATTCTGATTTGATACATAGTAGTTTAAGAATATTTATTATTTACTTATACAGTATTCAAGAGTTCTTACAGTCTTCTAAAGCAATTAGCACGCATAACATATCGGGCAGTTCCTTAATCTTAATTTTCCCTGGAATACGACCCGCCAAATCATTTAACAACCAGGTACCCATTCACTGCTGGGTGAACAGAGGCGTACAGTTAAGGATTGATGCCTAGTCAATCCTACCTAGGCCAAATTGCTCGCGAAGAGCGGGGCAAGTGTCTTACCACTGCACCACGGTGACTGCCAAATATTCTTGGCAAATATTTAGAAAAGTATTGAGTGGTATTAAATGTTTATGTATATATTTTATAGTGAGCAATTTACATCAGGGTGGCTTAAGATAAACTCTCTACTTAGCTCCTTGTCCATTAGTAATGAGAGAGAAAATAATTTCGAAGGTTACATGCTCTTCGTGTGCACAAAGTGGCTCAGAGCCTAGCATATCAGCAATATCCTGTGAGAGGGGCCAATGCTGAGGCTTAGAGGTGCTCTCGAGGTGCTGCTCAGAAAGGACCATTTCTTTCCATTTAATTCATATTTTATTTTGTAGTGAGTGATTTCTTTTCTATATTTTCTAGATGTCTTGTGGTGTTGGTGAAGAAAATGCAGTTGCATCAATTTGGTTTCAGACTCCTGAAAAAAGTGTGCGATCCTTGTTTCATGACCCCCCAGGTTAGTAACAGGTGTTTCATTTAGAAACATCTATATAGGTGTAAGACTTCTAAAATTTGGGAACTTCAATGGCATTTACTGAATTGTGGATTTAAATGTAGGAATAATTTATTCAAGAGCATTATAATAAAATTGATAATGGATGACTTGACATGTGTTGTACCTGTATGTCACTCATTTGGAAAGTTGTAGAAAAAGATAGTTGTGTTTCTATGATTATATAATGTATATGGATGGCTCATCTGTGTCATGCTGTTATGATCATTGTTAATTTTAGGAAACAAGGATGATCTTGTGGAGTCCCTCTTTAATGGATGGAAATACTTGTGTGTTCTTTTGGACAGCATCCTGAGACAGAAAAATTTTCACTAATACTTTTTAAAGGCATGGTATATTTGTCCAGGAAATGGTATTTTGTTATGATTGTTTAATTACAACGTTATACCAGAAGATAGTTCTGTATAGTGTAAATTTGCTCGAACAAACTATTTTGGTAGTATTGTAAAATATCTTCACAAGGAACATTTAAGGAACTACAAATCCATTTTGTCGGTTACGGTAAGCTCATAGAGGTGCACAGGTGAGTGGCAGTTTAGGTCACATGTGTTTGCACTTATCTCTGAAAGGGTTCTACTCACTATCTTCTTGTGAGTTTGGCTCCATTTCCTTCCCTCTAGGGAATGTTGCTGACCTGGGAAATGTACCGAGATCTTTAATTACCCAAATCCATTCAATAATATACTTGAATTATTAGGATTGCTTAAAATTTAGTCCTTGCTTCTTTGATGGTCCTGGCCTCATTTGAGTTCAGGTCTGTTTCTGCCTATTGGTTATGCTACAAGGTTCCTGATTAATTCTGGCTGGCTGACAATCTCTTCTTTTCATTTGGGCTTGGCAGGGGTGCTGTCAAACTCAAACGCTTGAGATCGGGACGCGAGTTCCATTTTTCTCGTGTTCTCATGCAGTACTTCTCATGCACCGCATGGGAACGACTTCTTTGCTCCAGTGCTTTCCTAGGACATGCATAAGTGGCAGCTCCTTATGCAGCTACCTGTGCTTCCTGGAACCCCTTACTGTGAAAGATCAAAGGGCTCATACTCACTTGACTTGTCATATATGTTTGGCCAGTTATGAAGCTGTTTGCACACAACTTCCATGATAGCTTGGATTTGCTGGCATCAATCCCTGGTGGGTGGCTTTTTAGTTGGCCTTGCATATTGAGACTGGTCCTTACTCCTTTTGTCTACATTCCCTTTTTCATCTCCTTTTTCCTGAGGTGGCCATTTGTCAGATTATTACGGCTTCTATATCAGGTGTTTTACCAGCAGGGTTCTGTCCTTTCTGATCAGAGGCAGTCCAGTAGGGATGGGGCTTCACCTTCGTTAGGTAGGCCCCAGAATTCTTGGGCCTACTCTAATTCTTGGACCCTTGTGCTTCCTTTGTCTGCTGCCTCTTCTGGTTGCCATCACCATCATACTTCACAAAAGGATTGATTCATGCTCGTTCTTTTGCAGTTCACCCCATTAATGGTGCTGTGAGTATGTGTCTGGCCCTTTTTTGTCAACTCCTGGTCCCTTAATTCATGGGTTTTCCATGTCCTTTTCAGCAGCCTTTGGTGGAGTTAGTTTGCCCTTCCCTTTTCAGTTGGGTTCGAGGGTGTCAGGTTCCCCTCAGCTTCATTCGTCATTACGATGTGGTAGAACTCAGACATGGTTAAGTTAACCTTATCTCTTCAGTGGGTGTTTGCGGTCCCCAAGTGCAATTCTGCAAAGCTACAGTATATTCTCAACTTCTTGGGACTAAACAGCTTCATTCCCTGTCTGACCTTCCACACGACCACTTTGGCTCATGTTCACCTGGTATTGCAGACAAATTCCTACATGGTGGCCTTGGGCTTCTAGGACTCTTACAAGCACATCCCTATCCATCAGAGGTTCCAAGGCTCGTTTGGTGTTGGGGGCCATCAGGCTTCCCACTTTAAGGTTCTCTCTTTGGTTTGAATCTGGTTCCTTGGATCTTTACCAAATTTGCACAAGTGGTAGTAACCTAGCTACATTTTTGGAAGCTTCATGTCTAGGTCCATCTTGACAAATAGCTGGTTTTGGCCCACAGCCATTCCCCGTCTCAACTGGTGAACTGGCTGAAGCCCAGTTCGTTTCGTCCCAGATTCGGAGCTGGCCAGGCGTTTGTTTGGGATTCGCAAGTGGCGTCTCTTTCCCTACCTCCTGTGGCCCTGCTTTGCCTGCAGTGGCATGTTCGATTAGCCCCGGATGACTCGTCTGTTAGATCATGCATTTGTGCAGGAACCTGAACTTTGCCTGCGAGGCTTTTTTTCCCCCTGGGCAGGGTTTGACTCTGGGTGCTGTACTGGTTCCTCTGGTTACATTCATTTTGCACTTCTGGGACCATCAGGTTCGGCCTCCACCCACCCTTTGTAAGCTCTTGCCTCGGCAGCTTCCTCTTTGGGCTTATTGGGCTTCAGTTCATGCCACCATCCTTCCTTCTATGTTCATGGCATCCTCGGCTCTGGGTTGCATCATTGTAACCAGCGCTCGCCAGGCCTCCCAGGGTCAGTGATCAGGTCTTCACTGTCGGGCACACAGTACATTAGGAAATTTTCAGCTGTGTGGCAGGCCCTTCAGAAGACTTGTCTTCCTCTGGGCTCTGTCCATCAGTTCCATTTCAACTGTTTCTCTGTAGTTCATTCCCTGAACAGCAAGGGGTCGCTTCATGTCTCTCATTTGGAGCTCAACTCATTCTGGCTGTTTGGTTCTAACTACTAATTTTTGTTTTCCCCAACACACACACCCAGGAAGCAGCCCATAACAGCTGTCTAACTCTCAGGTACTTATTTACTGCTAGGTAACAGGGGTATCAGGGTGAAAGAAACTCTGCTCATTGTTTCTCGCCGGTGCTGGGAATCGAACCTGGGCCACAGAATTACGAGTTCCGCGCACTGTCCACTCAGCTACCAGCGCCCCTATTGTCTGGTTCAGTTGATGTCCTCAGTGCTGTCCAGGCTGGTGCTTCCCTCTCTCCATCTTGCACAGGCAGAGTGGCACCATTGATGATAGTCACATACCAAGTGTTAAAATCTTATGTCTTATTAGATTATTTCCTTGTTCAGCATTGGATCTATTGATCCTTTCATAAAATATATATACTTACCTTTTCTGAATAGGGCATCCTTGTCCCATCAAAGTGGGAAATATGTAATTATGATTATAATTATTAATCTATTGCTAAAATGTATTTTCATTAATCATTGTAGCTCAGCATGTTTAATAAGATGTTTCATTTTGTTAATAATGTCCTCTTCTGTATTTTCTTTATAGAGTCATATGAATGGTCAACCATAGGTGTATTCTTTGCGTGTTACTTCTTCTTAGCATGTTGGACATATGGCCTGGGAATCCCTTCTGGACTCTTTATCCCGACACTTCTGTGTGGAGCAGCTTGGGGTCGGCTTGTGGGGAAGCTCATGTCACTCTTCTTCCCTAATCAGGTTATTCTCAAATTAATTTTTTTTTAATATGTGACTGCTACTATTGTTATTGTTTAGGTATTTCATATTAAGCTTTAAAATTAAGTCTTATATACAGTATTAAACAAATTAACTGAATACTATTTATATGTATTTATGTATTCTAGGTGATAATGCTTTGTATATTTTCTGGGTGGGTTTCCCTCTGTCGTTCCCTGGAAGCTAGCTTTCAGGATAAGCTACCTGGTTAGCATTCCACCTCTTGTATGGGCCTGGTGTGGTACAAGACATAAAAGCCTACTGCAAGTCAGAAACAGAATCTGGTCCATTCAGTAGAGGTGCAAAGAATCTAGGATATTAGATTAACCAAGACTATGAGAAACAATCCACCAGAAAGGTAGAGCACCCCAAAACGAGCAACTGCAGGGAGAAACATTTGCAACATTGTCAACTAGTAATATACTTGTTAGTTGGTTACCACTCATTAGTTAATGCTTCCCACCAGATGGCAGCTCCAGTACCACAAGGGTCCACCCAGTTAGCCACCTCAGTTATGTGTCAGGTGTGGTGGTCATCACAGCTCCGTTGTACCACGTTCCTTTCCATATCGATTGTATCGATTTCTCCTCGACTGTATGTGGCTAGGGTTACTAATTGTTCACTGGTGTTGCCCCTCCCTGGTTTGGGTGTCTGGTCTTTTGAGGTTGCCTCTTCTCAAGGAGTGTCCCTTCAGGTAGTGCAAGTTTCCTGGGGGGAAACTCCTTCAGCTTCCCGGAGCTATCCGGGCTGATATGAATATATTAGACCCCTGGCATCAGTCAAAGTGAATAGAGTTTTAAGGCCTACCGGGGACCACAAGCCAGAACCTGGTCTCCTCAGAGAGGCAAGAAGAGCAATGGCCTATAGAAACCCCCTTGTAGTTGGACACATTCTATGTCTGCCATCAACTGGGTCAGGCACCCAGAAAGGTTGGCACCCCAAAAGAAACCCTATCTGGTTAAAATATTGCTACTGAAAGCCGAACTGTTGGACAGAACTCCCCCAAATGAAAAACGAGCAAATGAGCATGATGTCACAACCGTCATGGTACTGCTGTCTGCGCAGCTTCCCCTCCCTGGGAGGGGTAAGGGAGAGCTGCACAGACTGCCGGTCCATTACGTAGCTGGTTCTATCTTCTCCTCAAGTCTTCGCAATCTGGTCTTTCTGACACAGGTCTTATCACCATTTGTATGGTGATCAGGTGGCTTCATTGATGGTGTTATGTTACCACCAGATGCAATGGTAACATAGTCCGATGGAAAAGTTATCCATAATATGATTGGTTGAAATGAAAATTAGCCCATAGAGCATGGGAAATATTAGGGTAAGAACGATACCTCTCTTATTATGACTCCAATCATGTTTTTAACAATTTGTGTGCATGAATGAAACATTAGAAGAAAGAAACAAGCTTTTTAATTTTCATTTATTTTTATTGCCATGTATTTTTTGTCTTAAAAAAAATTGCATCACACAAATGCCTCCTGAAGGCAATTCTGTTTGCAACAAATCCCTCGCTCCAACAAATCAAGGTTGATCACATATGATTCACCAAATTGAGAGTACACCAGTCTTTTCTGCCTTCACTGCTAACTGCTCTGCTTAAAGCAAGGTCTTAAGTCACATTCAGGACTCTTGTTCATTGTGTTCTGACACACTTGCCCTGCAAGCTATGTCTTCTAAACCCTACTGGGGCATTTCACATTCAGATTGCTTCAGAAGATTTTGTTCTGCTCTGATTTACAGCTGGCTCTTTCAAGACTCGGTCCCTGTCACTCGTATGTGACTACCTTCTCTCATATTTGTCCTCTGACATATCACTGCCTCTCCTCCATTACTGAGTTGTTAACTGCTAGTAACAATTTGATACTGGGATGTACTGTTTAGTACCGTTGTGAGTACACAGTTACCCAATTCCTAATTATAGTATACATTTTCATTATCCTTTCACTTTGGTAACTAATACCATTAATTCTTATCAAGCATTGAACAGTTGTAATTCCTTGTTGCTATATTTTAACAGCCATTTATGCTTTTATAAATTGCCAACATACTCTCTGAGCTTACACACAGAAATCACAGTAGCGTGATGCATCAAATGAATAACAATCCGTTTATGCCGGAACGGATTAAATTTGTTAACCAAGGTTCCTCTGCATTATTATTCATGAGCTGATGAGTTTTTAAATATTGGATAATAAATCTTTACAAATTATGCTTCCTTTCAGCAATGGGCAAATGAAGGTAAATACGCACTGGTTGGAGCCGGAGCCATGCTTGGTGGTGTTGTCCGCATGACACTGAGTTTGACTGTAATCTTGATGGAGTGTGTTGGTAATATAACATTTGGCTTACCATTGATGATTATTCTCATGGTAGCTAAATGGGTGGGAGATTTCTTCAATGAGGTTTGTAGAGTTGTTTTGTAAAGTTATGACGATTCTAATTTTAAATAAGATTAATATCTTTTATATATATATATATATATATATATATATATATATATGTGTGTGTGTGCAGGTGCTTGTAACTTAAAATTTTGCATACATTGGGATTTGAATTAAAATGTAATAATTTTAAACTGTAACATCCAAACAACTAACCATAGCCAATTTTTCAGGGTCTGTATGACATACATATTCAAATGCAGGGTGTCCCAATTATGGCTTGGGATGCTCCGCCTCTTTCAAATAATATCTACGCTACTGAAGTAAGTTATTCTGGCTTTATTCATCACTAGAATTATATAAATATTTTTTTTAAATAAGAATGCAACCACCATCCAATCACAGACACTAACACCATCCCACCACAAACAGAACCACCATCCCAACAGAGGAGGCCAAAAGGAACTTCGAGAAAGGATAGCGGACAAATGTAAAACAGATCCAGGCCTTTTCTGTAACTATAAATTCATTAAAAAGCAAGCTGCATGTAAAGGATAAAAGCTAGAGATTGAGAATGGGGAACAGATTCACAGAGAATGAAAAAGAATCGTGTGAAACACTAAATGAGCAGGTTCTGAAGTGTGTGTGTGTGTGTGCAAAATGAGGTTTTCAGAGAACCAGACACAATGCCAATTCCAGAGAACATCAGAGTACATAAAGGTGTCTTGAGACAAAGTGGAAAAATTACTCAAGGTGCTAGGCAGCAATTAAACAGTTGGACCATGTGGCATTTCACCTTTGGTTCTAAGAGAATGTGCAACTGAGCTGAGTATTCCAATTTAATTGATATTCCAGACAGCTTTGTGTACCGGAATCTTAGCAGATATATGGAAGAGCAAACATAGTTCCAGTCTACAAAATGGTAACAGAGAAGACCCTTTCAATTATACACCCATATCATTAATGAGCGTGATAGTCAAATCTCCAGAAAAAACAGTTAAACCCAATTGGATAGAATACTGGAGAAAAATGATGTAATAACAGACAGACAGTATGATTTTTGGACAGGAAGATCCTATGTAACAAATCTACTTAGTTTTTATGAGAGAACCACAGAGATTCTATAGGAACAAGATGGTTGGGTTGATGACCAAACCACACAACAGAAGGTAAAGAAACAACGACGTTTCTTGTGTTGACTGTTTTATTTGGAACTAAAAAAGGCTTCTGACAGAATTCCACAGTTGTTGTTGTTTTGCAAACTGGAACATGCTAGAGGGGTGACATGGAGCCTGCTGACATGGATGAAAAAGTTTTTAACTGCTAGAATGATGATGGCTATAATAAGAGAATTTGTAACTGACTACTAGTGGAGTACTGCAGGGTTCAGTTCTAGCACCAGTAATGGTTGTTGTCTACATAAATGATCTAGCAGAAGGAATACTGAATTACATGAACATGTTTGGTGGTGACACTAGCTACTAGGAAAGATAAGAGACAGACGATTGTCATGCCCTTCAAAATGAACTAAACAAAATAAGTGCATGGAACACATGTGGCAAATAGAATTCAGTGTGATTAAATGCCACGTTATGGAATGTGGAATAGGAAGAAAATGGACCCACACAACCTACAGATTATGTGGAATTGAATTAAAGTACTCTTAACAAAGAGAGACCTAGAGTGGTTCTGGAGAGTAGACTATCACCAGAGGAACACATTAAGAACATTGTGCGAGAGCATATGTGATGATTTCCAACGTTAAATACATGGATGGTAAAATACTAAAGAAACTGTTCACAACTTTTGAGAAACCAAAATTGGAATATGCAGCAGGTGTATGGTGCCCATATCTCAAGAAGCACATCAATAAACTGGAAAAGGTGCAAAAGCATGCTGCAAAATGCCTTCCGGAACTCAAAAACAAGTTACGAAGAGAAGCAAAGATGTTAAATATGGCAAAGCTACATGATAGAAGAAAATGTCGCCACAAATACAACTAAATGATCAACGGTGTAGTGATCAGAGTACCAGCGCTGTTGATGGGGAGACCCACGGCAGCCTGGGTTCAAATCCTGAGAGGTCATATAAGAATATTATATAGGGCCTTGCGGCCGAGTGTACAGCGCTTGAGGATCATAGCCCTAATGGCCTGGGGTTCGATTCCCAGTGGAGACAGAAACAAATGGGCAGTTTCTTTAATCCTGATGCCCCCTGTTTACTTAGCAGTAAATAGGTTCTGTACCTGGGAGTTAGATAGCTGCTACGGACTGCTTCTTGGGGATGTATATGTGCGTGTGTTAGAAACATATGTAGTAGATATAATAGAGGAAAATAGATCACTTAGGATCGCAGGGTCCAAGAGCTAATAGCTCGAGTCTGCAGACACAAATAGTAAATACAAATAGAACTACTAACACAGCCTCCAACTCACCACGAACACAACCACCTTCCCACTCCAAACATTACCTTACATCTTGTTGTGTTGCCTAATGCCTTCTAAGAATAGGAAACATGATTGTGATGTTCATTAGTAAATATTGTTGACCTTTAATAATTTACTTTTAGGTAATGAACAGACCTGTTGCAACCTTAAGGAGTGTTGAAAGTGTTAAACGAATTGTGAACATTCTCAAGCAGAACAATTTCAATGGCTTCCCAGTTGTAGATGATGTTCCAACTGAAGAAGATACACGATATTTCAAGTCATTTGGTACCTTGAGAGGTCTCATCTTGCGTTCTCAACTCATAGTTCTTTTAAAACACAAGGTAATGTAGTTTGAATATTATATATCCATCAGGGGCATTTTTTGGTAAGACATATTGAATCATATCTAGTACTTGTACTTGCTTGGGCCCTAGAAAACAAAAGCCGGCTTGTATGGTTATATGAATTGTAAGAGAAATAAATAAAGAACTGATGATGATAGATGTGGTGAAATAATTTAAGGATGGAATGCACCCTGAAATGAGAAAAAATACACTCAACTTACGTATTTATTTTTGGCTGTATGGCTGTCTGCAGGGATAAAAAAGGTTGTAAAATATTTGATGGCAATATAAATATGGTAATAATAGAAACTAAATCTATGCATAACCGTCTTTTAATTTCTTACAGGTTTTTAATGAAAATGCTGAGGTGTGGCAGAATAGTCAAGTAGATATACGTCTCTTTCGCCTGTCCTATCCACGGTACTTCACTCTAGACGAAGTTAATTTGGATCCTGAGGATATGAACTGCACAGTGGATATCAGACCATTTTATAATCCCTCCCCATACTCAGTAGTTACCTGCACTGCCCTACCAAGAATGTTCAATCTTTTTAGGGCTCTTGGTTTAAGACATCTTGTTGTGGTTGATGACAACAATGGAGTTGTTGGTATGGTGACTCGTAAAGATCTGGTCAAGTACAGAATTTGGAAACACAGAGGGCAGATGGGTTTAGAAGAGCTTGTCATTTATAATAATGTGTCTTAAGGATACTATATTTTCAATCATCGATTAGAATTAACGTTCCTAGAAACTTAATTAAGTATTTTTAAGGTTGTGAAACAATATCAACGATTACATACATTAAGTTACAAGTTTCCAATTATGTTACTTAGTTATATTATCCAAACTATTTTCACTATTAATGAGAACAAATATTATAACTTAGCTCTAGATCTGATGCACCTTAGTTGGCAATATTCTTTATCTGTCTCTTTAATTTGAACCAAAAATAAAAATTGTGATTTAATGTACATAATCAACATTAAATGCATCTTTTCATGAACAGAAAGCTGTGGATGTTCTTGCATGTGTTAACAGTATTAAATTGTTCAATTGCTGAAAAGTTTGTTAATTTATCTAGATGTTACATATAGTATTTTCTAGAGAAAAAATATTGATTGTGTATGTTATATGAATAAGATCTGAAAGTCCAATACTGTCCAAAACAAGAAATGTTCTCAGGAAATTCAAAATAAGTCTCAGTCTGTTAGATTGCGAGAATTAGAGATGGCAAATCTAAAACTTTTTGTCATGGTAAAACTGTTTTAAAGTTTCGCTTGTTCAGCAAACCTTCCTAGTGCATGTAAACAAAGTCTTTCCTATCTAATTAATTCCTGTAAATCCCTTCAGAGCAATGGTCAGAAATCTCCTTCAAATGATGAGTGGCCAGGAAGTTCCTTCACTAAAAATCCAGAAATTCACTTACAGTGCAGGCCAGGATAGAAAAAAAATCAAGTAATTTTATTTAAACAATCACATCTGTTTTATGCCCTTTATAACATCATAAGGTAGGCGGTAAGGTTGTTTATGTAATGTTTTCTACTAAATATCATGATTTTAAACGAAATACTGATTTTATTGTATGCTAATTCTGGTATATTTAAAAACTTTTATTAAAGAATCGGTTAATTCTTGCAAAAGTAATAAATAAACTTTTTGCAAGATTACTTATTACTTTTGCAAGAATTAAGGATATTATAGAGGGCATTGCGGCTGAGTGTACAGCGCTTGAGGGTCATAGCCCTCAAGCTATGAGCTATGTCTATGCTACTCTCCAAGCCAGTGCCTTATACTTATAGTCCACCCAGGACGCACTACACACACTGTAGTCAACCTGTTGCTCTACTGTAGCAACTGATCTTTGCCCAGTCCGTCCTAAGATTTCCCAACATCAAGAAAACTATCAATTTAAAGTATCCTCTCCTGACCTACCAGAGAACCCAAAACAGAAAACGGGACAGTACAGTACGTCACTTTCGCGAGCCGCTTCCATTTTCTAGTCCGACAATTTTTGGCCTTAGGTAATGCATACAAGAAAAAAATGACGTTCTTTGCAGGAAAACATTGCTTTGCCAGTGGTCTTGTTATGGCTACCCAGCCCAGTTTAATTTGAAGGCATAAAGGGGAAGAATGGTGAAAAGGAATTTTAAAGTAGGTAGAGAGAATTAAAAATTCTAAAAGGTGAAAATCATTAGACAGATGCAAATCTCAATACAATTGGATTTGATGGTCTGAGAAGATTGCAAGATTGTATGACAGTGATACGTCGGTGAATTAGGTGAACACATGCTGGCGATGAGTCACAATAACGTGGCTAAAGTATGTTGACCAGACCACACACTAGAAGGTGAAGGGACGACGACGTTTCGGTCCATCCTGGACCATTCAGACCATTGTTAATCGACTTGAGAATGGTCCAGGATGGACTGAAACGTCGTCATCCCTTCACCTTCTAGTGTGTGGTCTGGTCAACATACTTTAGGTGAACACATCTTTGGCTGAAATGTAATAAAGCTGCAAGGTATATGCAAAAATGATTTTGTGGAGAAAGGGAATGGAATGGGTGTTGAAAAATTTGTTAGAAGGCATGAAATAGTGGTAATGTACCAGATGACTGAAAAAGAGGATTCCAATTATTTTCATTTTAAAAAAGTACAAAAATACAACTTTTTATTGAATCTATTACAGTATATTGTTAATTAATATAATATTTATCTAGAAATTAAGAATAATCATTCCTAAAATATTTACATGAATTTATATTTTTAGGTAGTTTTTGTACTGTACTGTAGTTGTAAGATAAAAATTCTTATGCAAAGGTTAACAATAATGAGATTTTAGGACTATGTAATATATATTTAACAATACATTGTGGTCCTTCAATGTTTCCATTTAAAGGTGTTGTAAAGCTAGTCTTTACATATACTGTAAGTGAGTGTGTGTGTGTATATATATATATATATATATATATATATATATATATATATATATATATACATACATACATACATACATACATACATACATACATACATACATACATACATACATACATACATACATACATACATACATATACACACACACATACACACTGTATATGAAGAGTTTCCTTTGTATAACCACAAAAGGAAAAATGTAACAAAAATTTACTTGAGAGCACTTTTGTGTTAATCAACACATCAGAAACATAATCATGCAATACCATACTGTAATTGAATTTCTGAGGTCAAGCAAAACTACACTTCAGACAGTAAATATTTATTAAAATATAAAATAATTAAGAGGTAAGATAGGTAGTATGTAGGAAATTTTCACATATAAAAAGTTATTTGTCAAGATTTAACAGGGATCAAGTTGCATATATTTGTGCACCGTAGAGAAGTACTTAAAACCTGCTTTGTAATGTGAACGGTTTCCGAGTTCACATGGCTCAAGTATTAACTGGTTAAAATAGGGGGCTCAAGCACAAGTTAACTGCACTGGGTTGGTTAACATAAACTACTAGGTAACTAGTTATGGGAATGATGCGTGAGAAGGGGGAAAGGTTCTGCCAGGTAAGACCGAGGAGATGTGCAAGGTCACACGTCAATGGGATAAGCTAAAAGTACAGATGCGGTGGAAAGAAGATTAAAATGGTGTTGCACTATGGGGGAGGGATCCTTCTCTTCCCCAGAAGGGAATACATCAGGGAGGTGGGGGGAGGGAATTTAAAAGCAGGTGTGTAAGAGTCTGACGTGTAGCAAGAATAAGGAGTGAGGGAGATTGTTGTTGTTGTTTTAGATTTAGCTACTCGGAACTAAAATTTCTGTGTAGCACGGGCTATTGTGAGGCCGTAATGGTGAGGGAGGTGTTGCTGGAAGTAATATCTCTATTTATAGTTTTCTATTAATGATCTAATTAAGATCATTTTTTAATTGAGCCATTCAAAATGGTTCCAAAATGTACAAGTCATTACTAATATTCATATTAATAATAGTCATACTTATATGGGTATTAGTAGTGTGTGTGTTTATATGCTCTAAGCCATAAAAATCACCCTGTGCCATATTTTCTTTCATATTTATACAATGTGTTGAAAACAAATTGTATAAAATTTTAGTCTTTAGTGGATGACTTTCTAGGGAGAGCCCCAGTTGTTCCCTGATGCTATCTATGCTGAGATAATACCATCTACTAAGTATCATCAGCCATAGAGACCGATGCCAGATCCTGGCCCCATGAGAGAGGCACATGTAATGGTGACGTATTTTTGTCACCTCACTGGTGAAGGCAACCAGATAGTCAGTGAGTTGAAACGAACTACTGTTGGCTTCAAAAAGAGACTGACACCTCAAGCCTCCTTTTAAACTCTTATGTAAACAAATGATTTAAAGTCCCTTGAAATCATTGTGAGCTTGTGTGCCCTAACTCCCTGCTGGTTTGAAGGGAGGAGTTAGGCCTTATCTCGCTGTCAGCTGGCGTCTCAGTCCCAGTTCTGATTTACCTGAGGTAAATCTATACCTGAGGGTTCTATAGCTGATGTATTGAGTACCAGGTCACCACTCTTCTATCTTGGTTCTGGTGTTCTGTTCATGTTCTTAAACACTTAAGTGGTGGTGTTTGCCCTTAGTGGCATTTCCTGTACACTGTTGTAGCTTATGCCAAATTTTGAGAGTGCTTTGAGCTGCAAGTGCACATGGTTCCCTTCCCTTTGTGCTCTCTAGCGCTGCCCTTGTATCTTGAGGTTATCTTGAGATGATTTCGGGGCTTTTTAGTGTCCCAGTGGCCCTGTCCTCGACCAGGCCTCCACCCCCAGGAAGCAGCCCTTGACAGCTGACTAACTCCCAGGTACCTATTTTACTGCTAGGTAACGGGCATGGGGTGAAAGAAACTCTGCCCATTGTTTCTCGCCGGCGCCCGGGATCAAACCCGGGACCACAGGATCACGTGTCCAGCGTGCTGTCCACTCGGCCGACCGGCTCCCTATATTGCCAAGGTTATTTTCCCTGGAGTGTTCAAGAGTCTCTCCCTCATAGGTCTTACCTGTTTGTGGTGGCCCTCGCCTAAGGTGAGTCGGTGGTCTTAGGATCTTCCTGTCTTAACTCTGGTTGGGAGCAACTTTGGCTGATAAGGCACACTAGTGGTTCCCTATGTAGGCTGTGAAGACTTACTTTTAGGCTTGGCATAGCGATCCTAGTGCCTGGGTGACCTTTGGTTTTCCCTTTCAGCCCTGGAAATCCCATGCAGGTTTGGTGGTCCATGGATAGACCCCCAAACCTGCTCTCCAGCATGTCATCCTTGCCACATGGCGATATTCCTTCCTTTTGCCTCAGTCATGCTGCCTGTTGGATCGGTGACATCTTCGACCCGAGTCATATGGGATTTGTTCTCCCATTGTGGCTCTAGTTTCTGACCCTCCCAATGAGATTAGGATGTATCAGGTAGCAATCGCTTTGCATGTTAGGCTTTTTCAGTTGCAACAGTCTAGGTTGTGTGCCCAGTTGGATGCCCTGGAGCTGCCACGTTTTTTGTTTAGCAACCTGGAATTGGAGGTGTTGATAAATTCTACCTTGCCTCTGCACCTCTTCTATACCCTTCCTCTGATCGTCTTCTCCCTTCTACCGGCCTTGAGGCATCCTAGGGTTTCTGTATCTAGGCAGGGTTTAGCTCAAGATGTGACTCTGGGGGTTTCCCCCTTCCAATTCGGGTGTGGAGGCTGCTAGTCCTGCCGAGGCTTCTGACTTTTCCTTTCAGCCAGCCCCTTCATCATTTGAAGCCTCTTCCTTGGACTCTGCTTTTCTATTCTGGGCAGTGGACGAAGATGCTGGCCCTGCCCCGGAGACCTCTACTGTGGCTCCAGGGCTTGGGGAGTCAGATATGGGCCCTTGGGTTCCTTTCAACTGTGTGGTCCCTGGTTCTCTCCAAAGAGGGTCTTCTTTTGCAGGGAGATGGGTTTTTGTGCCTTCTCTTCCGGTATGAGTATGATTTGTGTGCAGCTTTTCCCAGGGTTTGGTTCATTGGGCCTTTGGGTTCATCAGGGTTGTCCTTCCAGAGGTTTCCTTCCCCTCTGGTCCCTTCTGCTGTGATGGCTCGTAAGGTTCTTTTTACATACTACCTGCAAGACCCAGATTATGCCTCGGTGATGGCCCTTCCTCTTTTGGGTTTGAGTCTTCTCTTTATTGGATGCGTTATGTGGTTTCGAAGTCTTCTTGGCTGGCAGACAATCCTTTGTTTTCGCTTGGACTTGACGCAGCTTTTGTCATAGCTGCATACAGGAGTAGTATGAGGTGTCGGCCATGTTGCAGGTGTTTTGGGGGGCCCTTCTTTTGAACCTCTCAATGACTGCCTGTTTGATCCTTCAATTTCTCTGGACGTGGGTCTCGTGCAGCTCACCCAGGTTTTCCTGTTGGTAGTGCTTGTAGTGGCTTATCCATCTGCATTTGGGTTCCGTCATGTGTTTCTCGTGTCTCCAACTACGTACAGATTGGCTGTACCCAAGTGCATACAGATTGGCTGTATGCAGTCTCCAGTAGGCCTATAGAACTCCACAGCTGATGTGACCTAGTAGATGGTACCATCTCAACATGAGATAGCATCAGGGAGTCACAGGGGCTCACCCAGAAATTAGCGTTTCATTACAGACAACGCTGGTTTTATTAGCCATGAGTGCTACATTGCCTTCCTGGCTTGGTGCCTTCTTTTGATACTTTTTATCCATGACTCATTTTTATATTGAATCCTCAAATACAAAGAAATGCTATATTCCACAAAGCAAATTCACAAATGAATGTTAACATCATAATTCATTGTGTTGGGGACAGCCAGCCAGTTTATACATACAGTACATGTTAGACTTGTATGGAGCTCCCCCCCTCCAGGGTCGAATTACTGACCCTCCCCAGAATGTAGTCCCACAAGAAGCTAACACAAGTTTTAAGTATAAACTGCATTAGAGTATAGCCAAATAAAGTTATGTGAATACTCAAAGATTGCTATGTTATATAATGTTTTAAATTCCATTTAATTTAAATTATAGTTTTATGTTATCTAAAAAAATTTAATATATAAATTATGAACGCTACTGTATTTGATACGGTAAGAGTTTTAGATAAACAATTCATGTACTGTATAGGTTTTATTATGGAATCCAGCTTAATGTCATTATTTTAATAAAAATTAAAGCAAGCATTAATAATCAGTTTGGTAAATCTGATAAGTTCACTCAAAAATTGCCAAGAGTTACTATCATATAGTTTATCATTCATATTTAAAAAAAAATGTTTTACTCATGCTTAGAAATTGTATATAGTTTATCCATTTCATAATTGAGTGAATTTCTTAGTAAAAATAATAAATGAATGTGTATACTGTATTGAAAAACAAAAATTTAATTTCAATATTAGTGTTAATAATGATAATACTAGTTGCAGAAGAGGAGTCAGAATAACGTGACTGAAATATGTTGACCAAACCACACACTAGAAAGTAAAGGGACGATGACGTTTCGGTCTGTCCTGGACCATTCTCAAGTTGATTGTGAGAACGAACAATCGACTTGAGAATGGTCCAGGACGGACCGAAATGTCGTCGTTCCTTTACTTTCTAGTGTGTGGTTTGGTCAACATAATACTAGTTTAGAACTGACCGGTCATGATTGCCTATTTTTTTTATTATCATTGGTTTCACAGTCATGATGAAAAGGATGCAATTTTATTTTACTGAACATCCATATTTTACCCAAGTTACTGGATTATAATGATCAATTAAAAATTTTAAGTAGAGAATTTTTGTTTATGTATCCCTGTTGCCATACAAAGCATGCAAGAGATCAGAGACCAAAATTTAGTTCCGTCATAGAGATGCATGGAACAGGGAATACTAGTTTACCCTACCAGAAAGTTAAGAGTGAAACTAATTGGACAACAGCAAGAAAAATATGAACAATTAAATACTAAGCACAGTAGTTAGATCATTCCTCTGGTAGTTAACCCTGCCCCTACCCCCTTCCACTGCCAGGTGG